CTGTCCTAAAAGGGTCCTGTTCTCAGTGCACCAGAGTAATGGCTGCATGCACCTCTAAGAGAAGGTTGCTCTCGAGTTTCACCTGCTGCCAGACAGTACTGTTTTCCCCAAATGAGTCTAGTACCCAAAGTCTCAACCGGAGCTGGATTTCAGTGCAGTTGGAAAGTTTTGTTTTCCTCCCGAACAAGAAAGCTAGCTGCACATTTGCTGCCCGCCCTTTCTCACGTGGCAAGTAAGCCAGCCGCATATTCAGCCACCAGCCCTTTCCGCGTGCACAGGTCTCCGCACCTCCACACCTCCTCTGGGTCTCAGTGTCCTTTTTTCTTTCCTTCTACCGTGTTTCCCCGAAAATAAAACATCCTCCGAAAATAAGACCTACTTACAGGTTTCCTTCTGAGTGAAATATAAGGCATCCCCTCGAAAATAAGGCCCCCCTAGGCTCTGTCTCAGAATGAAAATTAATTTACTGTAAACTAGTCGCTAGGGCCGCCCCGACTGGCATTTAGCAACCAGGGTCGTTACGCAGAGTCCTGATGTCACTGCTGTGTGGAGGCAGAGCGGAGGTCGGAGTGAGTGGTGAGCGCAGGGTGGGAGAGAAGAGGAGACTTTCGCAGATGCGTGTACCGGTAGTTGTAGAATTTTCACTCAGCCAGCTTTCCAGTGCTTCTGGATCATGTCCACTGTCTTCCAGTTGAAGTTTTAAAATTGTTGTGCGAGGCAGCATTATATGTGTTTACCTTTTGCCACCATCTTCGTTTCTCCAAAAGCTTCATATTTTAATATACAATTTTACATTAAGTGTAAATCGGAGTCTGAAGAGTTGTATATCTGTGTATGTTGACTACTTTTTATCAGGTATATCTGATATTTTTGTTGAAAACATTTGCAGTCCTTACTCTTCTTTTATGTATTCATGTCGGTAATGTTCATCATATAAACCAACTCTATACACTATGTTTCTAGCTTATATATATAAAATATATATAACATTACTTGTGTTGTAAAATTAACTTCAAGTCAATACAATAATTTTTAATGCAATTATTCTTAGCATGAAAATTCTTTGACTTGTCTTTAACCAATAACATATAAATGCTTTAACTTTAAAGGATACCTTTTGCATTATGTTAATGAGATATCAGGATTTTCTTTTACATTATACCATTTTTTGTTACTACTTCTTTATTTGGAAAGTTTCCTATGCCTGCCTTTCAAAGGCATTTTATATGATAACATATGCTTTTTAGAAACTTTGGTAATGAAAAGTTAACTGAAATCCAATTGAATAGATTTCTCTTTAATCAATGTAATGTAGTCATCTACACATTAAAGAAAAGAGAAATATGAGGTGAAATAATAGCTATCAGTAAACAGGTAAAAAATTAATTTTAGAATAGATTTTCTACTATACTAAAGTAGACTGTAAAACCTCTGAAAAAAAGTAATGATTTGTAATTTAAAAAAATAAAATAAAATGTCAGATATAATACTTATATTCATAAATATTTGTCAAGGGAATGGAATGGATGTCCTGAGATTACTAGATATTAATCCAGATTTATTCTTTCTTTTATTTCCATCCTAGTCAGTGAGAAATGATTTTGAGAATGTTATCATAGGTATGATACTTTTAGGTTTAAGCATATAAAATTAAAAATATATTGTTATTAATTCAGAAGAGGAAGGGAGAGGGAGAAAGAGAGAGAAACATCAATGATGAGAGAGAATCATCAATTGGTTGCCTCCTACACGACTTCCACTTGGGATCGAGTCCATAATCCAGGCATGTGCCCTCATTAGGAATCACACTGTTAACCTGATTCATAGGTAGGTGCTCAACCACAGAGCCATGCTGGTCAGACTAAGCATATAAAATATTTAATGAAATGGCATATGAAAATTTCCTATAAAAAAGGTAGTCTCAGTTAATACTTAGGTTCATTTATGGGAATTATACTGAAACATTTTAGGAAGATGAAAAACTTCTTGTTTTAATAAAAAAGGCTTTCTGATTAGTCACCCTTTAATCAGAAATTTAGATTATTTCTTTTCCTTTTTTTTTATTGTTTGAAGCATTACAAATAGTAGTACATATGTCTCCTTTTTTTGCCCCTAAATCTCCCCCCAGCCTCCCCTACCTCCTCTCTCCCGCATATGCCTTCACCTGCACCCCTATGTCTTATATCCATTGATTATGTTTATATGCATGTATACAAGTCCTTTGGTTGATCTCTTACAGCCCAACCCCCCCACCCCAACCTCCCTTGCCTTCCCGCTATAGTTTGACAGTCTGTTCAATGATTCTTTATCTCTATAACTATTTTCCCCCATTTCTTTTCCTTAAAAAATCTTGCAACTGCAGACTAGAAATAAACATATAATAACAAAAAACATTTCAGTCCCAATTTCAATGTCCAACAGTTCTGAGACCCAGTTTCAATGTCAAACATGTGTACATGTCAGCAATGATATCTGGATGATGGACAGATGGTGGCAATACAGTTCCGACCTTCTCTGGTTTGGTCCTGGGCAACCTTCAGCAATGCATAACTGCTGACTGCTAGGGTGGCCAGGAGTCGTCAGCTTCTTCCATCTCTGGACTGTTTTTCCTCTTGTCTTTGTGGTTGGAGCAGACCTGACAACTCCTCTCTGTTGCAGGAATCTCCATGGTCTTGCAGTAGTTTTCTGAAAATATACAAACATATTCTCAACCAAAAGTGTAAAGGAATCTTTTCTATAAGATTTACTTGGGATCCTTTTTGTTTTTGCCCAAATGATTTTCCATTGGCTTATTTTGACACCATGAGTGATTTTCATGGGTGTCTTGCTGTTAGCATTACAAATGAAAATTAATTTTCTACAGTAACAATTTTCTAGATGTAATTTACTTACAGGATATTTTTCCTTACATGATATTACTCTACTATTCCCCCCCCCTTTTTTTAATGGATGCTTTTGTAAATTTTGTAATGCAGTCTTAATAGCTTTAAATTTTAAGTTTTTGCACAAATATAAGATTGCTTTAGATTCATTTCATGTTAAGCAATTTTACCGTGAGATGCACTACCAATAGAAATTTTAGTTACTACTTTAGGAACAGCTTTTTATCCAGTACACTTAAATTTTCTTGGATGTTCACTTATTTCTATTAACCAATTTAAAATAACCTGAAAACTTGATTACTATTTTACTGTCAAATGTAATACTCTAACAACAATCTTAGTTTACCCTGGAAATATTAGTGGAAAGGATTACTTGCATTCTTGAGTAGGCCCTGAGCATTCCTGGTGCTATGCTGGATTTAGATATAGGGCAGCTGCTGTTGGCCAAGTCTCTGTCTGTTACCTGGGTCTCCATCTGAGCTGGGCCAAGTCTCTGTTACCTGGGTCTCAGTCTGAACTGGGTGTGGGAAGTGAAGCAGCCATGGGGGCAGGAGACCTCCCTCTGAAGAGCTAAGGGTTCAGATCCCTGCAAGGTTGGGTGGGTGAGGATCTGTGCCCCATCTCTGTTGGTTTCCATGTTCTCTCCTGATGGTCCTTCTGCAACTGTGCCTGTCTTAGGTTGTTCCTTTTCTGAGGAATCTTACCCATCTCTGGCTAACCAGCCATTCTCCTGGGCCAAGCAGCGTGATTTGAGGTTTAATACTGTTTCCTTGATAGCCTATGTGGCCTCCTCACCCAGCTCCTGTCTTGGGATCCCCTTGCCTGTTGGTGGGCCCCAGCACTGATCACATATCTTGGAGGACTCAGTTTTCTTCTCCAGGGAGGGCCCAGCTCACATCATTGGGTGAGAGACAGATCCATGGTACTGGCCACTAGGAGGTTTCAGCCTCAGCATGAACAGAAAGCTCAGACAACAACTGTGGGCAATTGGATTGTAAAAGGAGAGTGCCTCTTGGCCAAAGGGCAAGAGGGGACAATATAGAATGTTCCAGTGCCTTCTCAGTGCCTTAATTCCTTCTGAAAGGGATTAAATCCTTTCATGTCCTTTTTCAAATTGTTGCCAAACATTCATAGAATTAGTTTGTAAGTTTTTTTGGGGGGTAATAATATGCTGTTGTAAGATATCAAAAATTATAATGACATTGTAGGATAATATCATGTAAGGATATTCTTTATTCTGGGCCCTGGCAATTCAATTTCAAACTGGCTGTCAATTTCTTTTTGTAACTTTATATAAACTTTGTCAGGGAGGAAAACACACAAATTATTTACTTTATTTCAAGAGGCCAAATATATTGACTTTCAATTACAATCCTTACGACTTTTGAAGGAAACCTCTCTTTATTTCCTTCCATGATAATTTTCAGGCTACAGAGAGTTTCATTTAAAAATCTTTGTCAGATGAAACAATTTCTCTTAAGGTTTTGGTGATCACTTGTATAGATTAGATTTAATATTTTTAATTATAAATTTTTATTTATTAATTTATTAATTTTTTACATATATGTCTCTATTCCCCTATTACTCCCCCACCCCCACTGATGCCACCCCCCTGTTGTCTGTGTCCATTGATTAGGCTCATATGCATGCACATTTCTTTTAAACAAATTATAATCATAACACAGGCCCAGTGCATGACATTCGTGCAACAAGGGGGCTCCCTCAGCTCAGCCTGCGTTCTCTCCCAGTCTGGGACAGCAGAGAGCGGGCTTAAGCCAGCAGGCAGACATCCCTCAAGGCGTCCTTGGTGCTACCACAGCAGAAGCTCCCACCACTGCTGCTGACACTCGCTGCTCTCACCATCTGTGAGCCCGGCTTCTGGCTGAGTGGCACTTCCCCTGTGGGAGTGCACTGACCACCAGGGGCAGCTGCAGCATTGAGCTTCTGCCCCTTTGTGGTTAGTGCACTTCACAGTGACCAGTTATTCTATCATTCAGTCAATTTCCATATTAGAATTTTATTATATAGGACTTCATTCTTTTTTATATACAACCCTAAAGAATTTCTTATTTTTGCAAATTATTTCTAAGGATAAATGTTTGTTTTTTTAATTTTAAGACTGCTGAGAAGTCAGGCCAGATTGAAAGATCAAAGAATGTCAGGCAAAGACAAAATGATTTTAAGGTAAGTTAAGGGTAAGTATGTAGACTTTTTCACAAGGTAAGGTTTTTTTCAGTCATAGTAGAAGACTTTATTTATGTTCAAGATATTCATCATCACGCAAGCAGAATCCTTCATTTATTTATCATTGTTTAGAAAATGATTCAGGAAGTAATGCAGAGTCTCGTGAAGCTGATCCGTGGAGCACTACTCCCACTTAGCATCCCAGAGGGTGGAGTGAGGCAATATGGAGGCTGGGAGGTGAAGTCTGAGCTCTCTGGACAGTGGCTTACTCATGTCATACAGACGATAAGGTAAATATGCACACATTTTCCTGAAAAGGATAAATGTATTTTACTGTTAAAAAAACTCATTATGTGATATGATTTTTAATACATTCTACCAAGAATTTTACTTGGTGTCCTTCTGCATCCACTTTTCCCATGTGTTATCTAGCAGTCTCTTAAACTTTCCTGATCTAACATTTGATATGTATATTATTGTTAATTTAGTGTTACTGTTATATTGTAATCCCTCCTAAAGTCTTACTTTTATTTTATTTTCAACATAATATTGTAGCTTCTAAGCTCCAGAATGCATCATTTATTATAGGGTTGCCAAAATGATGACAAGGGACTGCTTTGTAATTGCACTCCACTCATTCACTTTTGTTTTGTTGTGTTTATTTTACAGACTTACTTACGAATCCCTGACTGCCCTTGAAATTCCTAATGACATGCTACAGACTATCCAGGATCTCATTTTGGATCTCCGAGTACGTTGTGTGATGGTCACATTGCAACACACAGCGGAAGGTATGTTAAGAAAAATTGATGGCATTTACTAGACAATGATTACTGAATATCCCCCTTTTTCTAGCTTTCAAATTCTTGAAACAATAAGTTACTTTTATAGAAATTTGAATATTTTAAACCATCTGTCTAAAGAATGCTGCTCAATAGAATTCTTTCAAAAGTAATTTTTAAAAAACTTGAGATACCAAGGCATGCAGAAATAAAGATGGATATACTTGAAAATATTTTATGTATATAAAAACATCTTTATGGCAAATATTAAGTAGAAAAAGTAGAATGTAAAATGTATATAAAGTATTATACCATTATTAAATATATGTGTGTGTGTGTGTGTGTGTGTGTGTGTGTATTTTAAATTTTTATTTAGAAATAACAATGTAAAATCAGAAGAAAGACTGTTAACAGTGGTTCTTTAGGTAGTAGACATTATAAGTGATGATCGTTTTCTTTATACTTTAAAGAATTTGGGGATTTTTACCTACAATTATAAAAAAAACAATTAAGATTATCTTTATAAAGTTACTTTTTTTAAAGTTCTTTATTGTTTAAAGTATTACATAAGCCTCCTTTTTCCCCCATTGACCTCTCCCCAGCTGCTCCCCCTACCCAGCACATGCCCTCATCCCCTTACTGTCTGGGTTCATTAGTAATGATCAGAGCTACTTTTTTGACATTAAATATATTTTTTTAAATCAAGAACATTACAAATGACATAAACTATTACTACCTATCATCAGGCCTATCATCATTAATTTCTCTCAGAACAGAATTGGTGACTAATGCACTCTATAAACAAAAAGGGAATGGGATCAGGTGAAAAACTGAATAGTGTCCTCTTAATTCATCATCTCCTCCTCTCAGGGATCTGAAACAGATCGCAATGAGAAAGGTATTCCTTTAGCCAAGTGGGAATAAGACTGCCATTGTCAGAATGTAAAGGATTATAAAAGAATCTAAATTGTTCATTAGAAATTTTAGGGGGGAAATAGTACATAGTTATTTTGTACATGTTTAAGATTATCAAGAGTGCTGAATAAATAATAAATTGTCAAAGTTATTATTAAACCTAGCCTCACATTCTCCAAATTGGGTTATGTGTATGTAGTAAAAAATTTTACTTACAGTAATGTTTTATTAGAAAAATCCAGTGAATAATACACATTTAAATCCTTGAGTTTACCAGAATTATATTCTGTATCTACATTTGCCTTTTTTTTTTTACAAACCTGTAAAATACAATTAAAAATCATAACCCATAGATTTTTATCTCTATAAAGTTCAGTGAAATAACCACAATAAAAAATATTTGTGTGTTTGTTCTCCCTGTAGAAATAAAGAGATTAGCTGAAAAGGAAGACTGGATTGTTGATAATGAAGGGTTGACTTCTCTAGTAAGTTTAAATTCTTTTAAATGATTAGTGTATATTATATTCAAAATAAATTATTTGTTTTATTAATATGGAGCACGCCCTTTCTTTATTGCAACTTAAATAGTTTCTGGAAATAGAAAAATAAATTTCTTCAAGTTTTCTTCTCAGAGTCATTTTTGCTGACCACTAACCACACATATTTAAAAATTAATAAAAAGTAGAATTTTTTAATAGACATTTTTCATTGTATCACTTACTATTTTTACTTGCATTGCATTTTTAATAGATTATGCTTAATTCGAAGTTACCCATCAACTTGAATATTTTATAAAAGCAGGATAGAAAAAAAAAATGCTTTTGCTGGCTTCTAGCCAAAATAACATTGTTGAAGTTCTCCAGATGCATACCCATGTCAGATAGCTGTGATCTTCATTCAGAAGGATCATCATCTTTTCATATGGGACTTTTAGGTTTTCAAAATACCATCATTTATTGTGTTTTATATCTGTGTCATAGACCAGTTTCTGCCAACTTAGTAACTAGATAAGGAAACTAAAATAAAATGGTTTTGATTTGTCAAAATTTATAAAGTGGGGGTGAAGTCATGTTTCTCCTCCCCCTCTATTGTCACCATTTTTTCCACCAAGTAATTACAATGTTATTGACTGTATTTCCTGTGCTATACGTTATATCTCCATGATTTATTTGAGTCAGGTTGTTGAAAAGCAATAATCCCGTGAAATATTACATTTCCTCAAATTTCTGCACTTCTTATTGACAATCTTCCTTTGAGAGTTGAGGAATTTTTGACAAATTGAAATTTCCACTCTGTTTCTCGAAAGGCCTTGGGTTCCTTCTTAAGTTAATATAAACGTCTACAGTACACCTTTCTTTGTAGGTAACACTGTGATTTAGAACAGCAGTGCTTCTACATTTTTTTAAATTAAATCATGCTTGAAATTAAGGGAATTTAAAATGATTGCATTGTGATTATATTTTAAAGGAATTATTTTTTATAAAGATCTGTTTTGATTCATTTGGTTTATTCTATTTTTATAATGATTTGTATTTAAATACAAAAGAGGAAAGAGGTATGAGCAGACCTTGCACCATCTAGTAAGGCAGCCATTTGAAATGTTGCTCATGTAAAATACACATCAGTTTTGAAAATACACTCAAAGGTTCTAGCTTTGAGTATTTTTAGCTAACTAAAACTCTTAGACTTGGACCTAATAAGAATGCAAAATATATGAACTTTTTATACTTATTACATGTTGAAATAATATTTTGATATATTTTATTACATAAATTATATTATTGTTTTCTTTTAGTTCTCTTAATATGGTTACTGGAAAATCTAAAATTGTATGCATGGCTTGTGTTTCTGGTTCAAATTATTACTTCTGTCAGACAACACTGGTATAGCAGAACAGGTACTGCAGTGGATCTAGAATCCTAGTCTGGTTCACTCCCGAGTTCTGGTATATCATAGCCATGCAGCCTTAAAGAAGCCACTTAACCTCTGTCCTAGTTAAAGAAGCAGAGCACTTTTTCACAGTGTTGCTAGTTAAAATTAAATGGGACACTGTAGAACAAAGCTTTCTACACATATAAAGAAATCCTACCTAATAAAAGAGTAATATGCAAATTAACCATCACTCTGCTACACCCACAAGCAACGCCCACCAGCCAATCAGAGTGAGTATGCAAATAAACCCAACCAAGATGGCTACAGCCACAGAGCGTAGGAGGGAGGCTTGGGTTTCCCAGGCAACAGACGAAGCCAAATTTTCTGTTTGCCCTTGCTGGCCTAGGCCTCCACAAGGCTACAAAGTTTCAATTATAGAAGGTAAACAAATCCAAACAGAAATGGCTGCCTGGAGTGAGCAGGAGGCTTGGTTCTGCTCCAGGCTACAAAGTTTCAATTGTAGAAGGTAAATAAATCCCAGATACCAGGGCCTCCTCTTGGGTCACCAGGGGGTGTGGCCAGAGTGCAAACTACCACAGGCCCCTCGCTCAGGCCACCACACGCCTCAAGGGAACCCCCAGCCTGATCTGGGACACCCTTCAGGGCAAACCAGTTGGCCCCCCATCCATGTACCAGGCCTCTATCCTATCTAATAAAAGAATAATACGCAGATTGACCATCACTCCAACGCACAATAGTTGCCCCCATGTCGTCAAAGATTCTGCCCCCATGTGAACACAAGATGGCCAGCAGGGGAGGGCAGTTGGGAGGCACCAGGCCCGCAAGGGAGGGCAATTGGAGGCAATCAACCCTGCAGGGGAGGGCAGTTAGAGGTGACCAGGCCTACAGAGGATGGAAGTTGGGGGCAAACAGGCTAGCAGGGGAGCAGTTAGATATCAATCAGGCTGGCAGGGGAGTTGTTAGGGGGTGATCAGGCTGGCAGGCAGAAGCAGTTAGGGGCAATCAGGAAGGTGAGCAATTGGGAGCCAGCATTCCTGGATTTTGAGAGGGATGTCCGACTGCCCAGTTAGGCTCGATCCTACCAGGATCGGGCCTAAATGGGCAGTCGGACATCCCTAGAGGGGTTCCAGATTGGAGAGGGTACAAGCTGGGCTGAGAGACACCCCCTCCCCCAGCCCTGTACATGAATTTCATGCACTGGGCCTCTAGTTTTATTTATAAATTCATACCTATAATACTGAGGCCACTATAATAGTAATTTAAGTTTATGTTATGCCTTAGTATTTTCAGAGCTCTTTCATAGAACCCTATCCTGCTTAGTTATTTAGCAAGTCTGAAAGATAGGCTAAAGTGGATCATTAGACCATCCTATCCTGAAAAACTTACTGCAAATGAAATAAGCCAAGATAGATTAGACAGAAAGTTAACTTTATTGCTTGCTTTTTTATTTGTGTTTCAGATAAGTTTTGTGGAAATGAAAATACTACATATATTTAATTTGAGAAAATGAACATCTGTTTATAATTTTTTAAAGTTTCCATCAATAAAACAAAACTTAGCAATAAAACAGGTATTAGGTTTATGTCCTTTTTTAGGTTACTCTTTCTTGCACACACAGTCAGTCCAGAATGCACTTACCTGGTATCTGTTACACCTGGGGTCTCAGTGTGTGCTTGCTTACCTGATGGCTACCACATCTAAGATTGTTTGAGTAGATAAGCCTTTTTGAAAATGCTTTGAAATGGTTACTATAAAAATTATTTGTCATCAACTTAAATTTTAAGTATAATAGTAAGAAACCGTAACTTCTTATAACTAACTTCATGTTTGATTTCACACGCACAAGCTGGAAAACTAAACCCACTGCAACCTGTAGATCAGTGGTTCTCAACCTTTCTAATGCCGTGACCTTTTAATACAGTTCCTCATGTTGTGGTGACCCCCAACCATAAAATTATTTTCATTGCTACTTCATAACTGTAATTTTGCTACTGTTAATTAATTGTAATGTAAATATCTGTGTTTTCAGATGGTCTTAGGTGACCCTGCTAGCGGTTCTCAACTTGTAGGTCGTGACTCAAAGGTTGAGAACCGCTGCTATAGAGCCTAAGACCATTGGAAATGTAAATATCTGTGTATTGTAATGTAAATATATGTGAATGTAAATATTGAAATGTAAATATCAAAATTTAAATATCTGTGAATTGTAATATAAATATCTATGTTTTCTGATGGTCTTAGGCAACCCTGCTAGTGATTCTCAACATGCAAGTCGTGAACCACAGGTTGAGAACCACTGCTGTAGAGCCTAAGACCACCGGAAAGCAGATATTTACATTACAATTCATTAACAGTAGCAAAATTACAGTTATGAAGTAGCAATGAAAATAATTTTATGGTTGGGGATCACCACAACATGAGGAACTGTATTAAAGGATCGCGACATTAGAAAGGTTGAGAACCACTGCTGTAGATGAATGACCCTTAGGAAGTTACACTTGAGGGGTCAGCCAGCCCTTCTAGTCAGGTGTTGAAGAAACATGCCAACATGATAGACTTAATGAAGCTGAGTACAATTTTAACTATTCAGCATGGACTTTACTTAAGAGAAGGTGAATCAGTGTTTAGAATGAAAGTCTAGGCTCCAGCTTTGAGTATTTTTTACTTAACTACCTAAAATTCTTATTCTTGGAACAGTGACTTAAACTATATACCTGTAATTTACATTTCATTAACATTTCTGTAATACCAAGAGGGGGCAGCAGTTGGGAGCAGCCACGCCAGCAGGGGGTGCTGTAGGGGGTGACCAGGTCTGCAGGGGAGGCACTAAGGGGCAACCAGGCTGGCAAGGGGGGGGGGGGAAGACAGATGGGGGTGATCTGGTAGGCAGGCAGGTGAGCAGTTAGGAGCCAGTGGTCCCAAATTGTGAGAAGGATGTCCCTCAAGGGTTCCTGGATTGGAGAGGGTGCAGGCTGGGCTGAGGGGACTCCTGCCCCCGTGCATGAATTTTGGGCACAGGGCCTCTAGTATATTAATGATGCTAAGACTGCTCAACCACTTGCTATGATGTGCACTGACCACCAGAGGACAGATGCTCCATTTGGTAGGTTAGATTGCTGCTGTGGTCTGGCTGTGGGACTGAGTGAGATGGGCCTGGACACACCCTGGAGCCCTCCTGAGATTCCTCGCTTGCTGGCCAACCTCCTTGGCCCCAATCATGCATCGATGGGCTCCCTCATCCTGGCCTGCACCCTCTCGCAATACAGGACCCCTTGAGGGATGTCAGAGAACTGGTTTCAGCCCCATCCCACAGGCCAGGCCGAGGGACTGCACTGATGCACAAATTTGTGCACTGGGCCTCTTGTATAGATATAAAACAAAAATAAGAAAACCTAGTTCATATTTTAATATCGATACAAGAAATGTCACCCACACATGAACTTCAACATTTAACTGTCCACAGTTGAATGTTAAATTTAATTCTGTTACTATTTTAATATTTTAGATTTTCATTCCTTTTGAGCCCGGTACATTGAATGGATAAGATCATGTATTTAATAAACATTTTGACTTTTTAAATACTTCTATGCAGTTGGTATTTCATCCTTTAACCTCTCACTAACATTTTTTTTTTTTTTTTGGTACTTTTTAAGTATTTTATGGTGCCTCTGCGGTTGCCAAGTGTAGTATTAAAATACATTAAAGGCACGATTTTAGCTTTCATTAAGTCTGGGTTCCTTTTTATAAGAAAATAAGCTTGTCTTCCCCTCCATGCCCCCCTCACACACACTATATAAAGGTGTCTCTTTCTTCTCTCCCCCACCCCAACTCTTTAACGATTGAAATGTCTATTGAGGAGAGGTTCTAACTGCTGATTTTTTCACAGATCTCATTTAATTGATCTTACACAGTTCCACATCCCTGAATGAAATCTGGACCTTAGCTTCATCTCTTACCCTCCAAACTCATGCTCAGTGGTTGAAATATACTATGGCTCCTCAGCCCCGCCAGTTCTGTCCACCTTGGGTGTGGCTAGGCACATGCTGTCCTCCTCCCAACTCACATTCTCCTTCCTTTTTCTTTTTAGGGGCTGGTTCCTCTTGTCCTTCAATCCTCAGCTGAAATGTTTTCACTGTCTCAGAGGAGCCTTCTTTAGCCATCCTATTTAGAACAGATCACCCTCCATCACCATTTTTCTCTGAGTTCTACTTATTTTCTTCATGACAGTTAGTTTGGGATTACATTTGTCTTCTTTACTTTTGACTTGTTTTAGTAAAAAGTAAGAGTTTTGTTGATTTTTTTATGATTAGTGTCTCCCCAGAATATACATTTACTAAGCTCTCTGTCTGTCTTTTATATTCCTACTAGAGGCCTGGTGCATGAAATTCGTGCACATGGGTATGTGTCCCTCAGCCTAACCTGCACCCTCCCCAATCTGGGACTCCTGAGGGATGAATATTACTCTTTTATTAGATAGAATCATCTGGAAAATGCCTGGCACAAAGTAAAACCTTAAATGCAATTAGAAGCTGAGATGTTAAGATTCATTCAAATTTATCTTAAATAAATACCATTTGTTGTGCATTTTTCAAGTTTCATTTTCTTATATAATGTATGTAGAAAATGATAATAATGGCTTTCTAAGTTAAAGACCTTGGTCTCTTCCAGATCATTATTAACATTAAATTTCCTTGGACAGCATCTAAGAGATGGAGCTCATGCAGACTATACACTGCAAGCAGGGTTTAAAATATAAAGGCATTACATCTGCTTTTTATCACATCATTTGCAACTCAGAAGAGTAGAATTTTTAAGAAAAATTTAATTTATATCTGAATTATGTTTTTATTGAATTTGATGAACTTTAGAATTTCAAATTTCATCTGTTCTTAAATATCAAGTACAAAACATAGCAAAGCTAAATCTTGATAACTAGGTTGTCAGTTTGTGACTCTGTTCCCTTCTATAAATATGAAAATTTGAGAATTTTTGTTCATACTCCCATTTATAAATGTCTTAACAGCCAATGCTTGCTTTGAATTTTAAGATATATATATGTGTGTGTGTTTGTTTTGTTTCGGTTTTCCTTTAGCCATATCAGTTTGAACAGTGCATTGTACATTCTCTGCAATCACTTAAAGGAGTTCTGGACTGCAAGCCTGGAGAAGCCAGTGTAAGTTTTCTGTTCTGGTCAACCTCTGTTGCAGACTTTCCCAATGACCTGTTGGCAATCAATTATAAAGTTTTGAGTCATTTCAGCACAAGAGCTTTTCCCTCTGACTACTTGGCTTGTTTTATTTCATGTAAAGGCTATTGATTTCTTGATTCCAAGAGAGGCTGATGGAAGTTAAAAATGTGAATATAGGTGTTGTAGGTAGACTATGTGCATTGTTAACACTTTGTATACAGAGAAGACAAGTGATTTAGGTGTTGTTAAGCTGCTCCATGTCAGTGTCTTCTCAGGGCAAAATCACTGTAGGTAGAAACACTCACTTCCTAGTCCAGCTCTTCATTTATGGCCCTTTTCAGAATAAGGTTATACACACTAGAAACAATTTTTCACTTTAGTGTTAACTCTTTTATTCCCCACTTTAATATTTCATTTATTATCATCATTATTAGTAGTAGTATCATGTTTTTGCTCTTACATTTGCATTCTCTTCTGGTTATGCTGAGTTAATATTTTCAAGTACACTCACTGTATACTGTTTTTATATGTGGTTTCATTTTGTATTGTGGAAAGGTTTTTCTTGATTATTGTTTTAGTATACCTTCGGGCTTTTATGTTTTTATTTTGCCTTGGTTTGATTTTATATAACTTTATAAACAAAAGTTTTGTTTGAGCTAAGTCCAAAATTTTTCACCAAATTTCTTCCTTACAGGTCTTTCAACAACCTAAAACACAGGAGGAGGTTTGCCAACTAAGCATCAATATCATGCAGGTAATAACTACAAACGCTGGTACCCTGAGCCTGAAATAATACAAATTATTTTTCAACCTTCTGTTATTTAGAATTTATATAACATCTATATCTATAAAAGGGTAATATGCTAATTGAACCAGACAGCCAAACGACCTTCTGGACATCATTCCAGACAAAGCCACAGTGGGGGGTGAGACAGAGGTGGTTAGGGGCTATCAGGCCAGCAGGGAAGCAGTTATGGAATGATTAGGGGAGCAGTCGGAGTGATCAGGCAAGCAGACAGAGGTGGTTAGGGTAGGCATAGGTGGTTAGGGGTGATCATGCAGGCAGGCATAGTGATTAAGGGCAATCAGGCAGGCAAGCAGAGGTGGTTAGGGGTGATCAGGCAAGCAGGTGAATGGTTAGGAGCTAATAGTCCAGGATTACAAGATGGATTGCCCCTAACCATTCTTCCTGCCTGCCTGATTGCTCCTAACTACTCTACCTGCCTAATTGCCCCTAATTGCTCACCTGCCTTCCTACCTGATCACCCCTAACCTCCTCTGCCTTAGCCCCCACAATCACAGCTTCATCTAGTAGGACATCCAGAAGGTTGTTCAGCTGTCCAGTCTAATTAGCATATTACACTTTGATTATTATAGATAAAATTGTTTTTAACTAGAGGCCTACTGTACAAAATTTGTGCACAGGTAAGGACCCTAGTGGCTGCCAGCTACCAGCCGGGACCTCACTTCCCCCGGCTGCCTGCTGCCACTGCTGGCCTGCACCTCCCTTCCCCTGGCTGCCTGCCACTGCTGCTGGCCAGAGCAGTGCCAGACGAAAGAAGAAGGGGTCATGGGTGGTTTGCCAGCTGGCCCCTCCCCATGGCTGAACTTGCAGTGGAGGGGACAATTTGCATATTAGGCTTTTATTATATAGGATATTCAAATAGATTACAATCTAAGAGTTCATGTCACTGAAACTTATTTTTTAATTTAGATTTTTATATATTGTCTGGAACAATTGAGCACCAAGCCTGATGCAGATGTAGATACTACACAGTAAGTAAAACTAAAATTAATCTTATTCGTGCATTTAGGAGGATTGAAAATATAGACTGATGTTATATATTTGGTCTTATATCATATACTAAGATTTCCAATAAGAGAGAGAAATTATTATAAGAAAGTTATAGTTTTCTATATTTGACCTATGTTTTTTCCATAGTTTCTTTATCTTCTGAACTCATCATTACTAGAGAAGTGTTGAGTAAATGGAACACTTGATCAGCTCAGTAATTATACAAATGAAGTTTTGTAAATAATAAAGTAGTTATATACTTTTATTCATTAACTTTTACAGTTCTGGTGTAGAAGATTTCACTAATACTCTTGTTAAAGACCAGTTATTTTAGTGAGATTAATTCTGGGTTAGGCTTAGTTATTTGGATTGCAAAGTGCAGATCTTAATTCTTGATATTTACAAATCCATGTGATAATGCTTTTATTTTTGAAATATTTTTCAGATTGTTTTACAGGATTTTTTTAAAATCTGTTTTTTCTGAATGACATTGTCATGTTTAACTTTTGTGCATCTAAGATATATGCTCTGACACTGAAATAAATGTCTATTAAATTCATAATAGAAAAATTGAGAATGTTTTTCCTGTTTGTCTGTTTCCTGGTATTGGTTTTTGCCTCTTAGGATAGAAACTGTCACCTCTCTGAGACATAATAAATATTTTAATTCTTCTAGTTTTTCTTTAATTTTATATGTCTGTTTACTTGTGAGCTATTAATAGTTCCCTAACTCAACTCACTTGTAAATGGTTGACTATAAAGGTGAGCTTGAAAAAGCCTCCTGGAGATTCTGATAGTCACAGTCATTTCAATTATGTAAGTCTATATCTAGAAATTAAATTATGAGTTATTTTCTCCCTTGGTGGTTTGTTTTTAAATTTAATTAGGTCAAGATTAGGAAACTCAAAAACAAGCTTCCGCGTCCCTGACCTGCCTTGGCCTCTGCTCAAGGCTACAAAGTTTCAATTGTAGAAGATAAATAAATCCCAGATACCAGGACCTCCTCTTGGGTCGGCGGGGGGGGGGGGGGGGGGGGGGGGGGGGGGGGGGGGGGGAGATGGCCAGCATGCAAACCACCTCAGGCCCCTCGTCCAGGCCATCCCACGCCCCAAGAGAATCCCCACCCTGATCCAGGACAACCTTCAGGGCAAATCAGCTGGCCCCCACCCGTGCACCAGTCCTCTATCCTATCTAATAAAAGAGTAATATGCAGATTGACCATCACTCCAATACACAATATGGCTGCCCCCATCTGGTCAAAGATCCTGCCCCCATGTGGACACAAGATAGCCACCACAGGATGGCCAGCAGGGGAGGGCAGTTGGGGGTGACCAGGCTTGCAGGGGAGGGCAGTTAGGAGCAAACATGCTGGCAGGGGAGCAGTTAGGCATCAATAAGACTGGTTTGGGAGTGGTTAGGGGGTGATCAGGCTTGCAGGCAGAAGCGGTTAGGGGCAATCAGAAAGCCAGGCAGGCCAGTGAGCAATTGGGAGCCAGCATCCCTGGATTGTGAGAGGGATGTCTGTCTGCCCATTTAGGCCCGATCCCAGTAGGGCAGTCGGACATCCCTCAAGGGATCCCAGATTGGAAAGGGTGCAGGCTGGGCTGAGGGACACACACCCCCGTGCATGAATTTTGTGCACTGGGCCTGTAGTTGTAAATAATGCTGCAATGAACATAGGTTAAGGTACGTATGTTCTCTGAAATAGTGATTTTGAAGTATTTATGTATTTTATTAATAGCCACAAATGGAATTTTGGGTAGTATGATAGTTTTATTTTTAATTTTTTTAAGGAGCTGCCATACTGTTTTCTGTAGTGGCTGCATCAATTTATAATCCCCCAATAGTACATGAGGGTTCCCTTTTCTTCACAATGCAAATATTGGTATGCTTGATGTTGTCTCAGAGATACATTAAACTTTTTTCTTTTTTGCTCTTCTGATTAGTTGATGTTTTACTACTTTGAATTCCAAATCTATGATTTGTTCTTCTGCAGCAGCTAACCTGCTGTTGATTCCGTAGATCTTTGGTCAACAAACTGGCTCCTGATCCATTTGGCCCTTGAGTCTGGCTCTTCCACAAAATACCATGGTCTGGGCGAATCTATTTTGAAAAAGTGGCATTAGAAAAAATTTAAGTTTAAAAAATTTGACTCTTAAAAGAAATTTCAGTCGTTATCCTGTTGATTGATATTTGGCTCTTTTGACTAATGAGTTTGCCGATCACTGTCCTGGAGTACATTTTTTTCATTTTAGTTATTGTAGTCTTAGTTCCCGTTGTTGTCTCCCTCTCCCCACCCCCCCCTTGTTGAAGTTCTCACTCAGTTCATTTATTCTTCAACCAGATTCATTGAGCATTTCTATAACCTTAATTTTGAACTCTTTATTTGCTAGACTGCTTAATCTCCATTTCATTTAGGTTTTTTAACTGTGATTTTGTCCTTTTTTGTTTAGAACACATTTCTCCATCTCCTCATTTTGCGTGTCTCCCTGTGTTTATTTCTGTGTATTAGTTGTAGTTTCTTTTGTATCCATAGGAGAAGGTGAGCTCGGGATCTACCTACTCTGCCATCTCAATTCTACTATGCACAGAACTGACCAAAAGATTTTAAAGCCAAATTAACATAAGCTTCCCTTTTTTTTTTTTTTTAGGTATAATTGACATGTAACATTATATTAGCATTTTTAATTTTAGGACTTTGATTGTAACTTTTCTTTCTTGCTTTTATATTCAGTCTTTCTGTTGATGTTTCTTCTCCTGATTTGTTTGGAAGTATTCATGAAGACTTCAGTTTGACTTCTGTAAGTAAGAGGATAAGTAATTAAAATGAATAATAGAGGGTGAAACATGTCACTTAAAAACTATGTAGCCGGACCAGCATGGCTCAATTGGTTGAGCGTCATCCTGTGCACTGAGGGTTGATTTTCTGGTCAGGGCACATACTTGGCTTGTGGTTTGATCCATGGTCAGGATCAAACAATTGATGTTTCTCTCCTCCTCTCCCCCTTTCTCAAAACAACTATTTAATGACTACTTCATAAATCTACCTAAATTACCTATTACATTAGTGCTGTAGTGTACTATATACTTTGGAGTTGTCTTATTTTGTGAAAATGTTAAAAAATATAGGATATATATATATATATATATATATATATATATATATAAATTCTACACTTAAAATATTTTTTGCTGAAGTTGCAACTTAACTGATTTCTTCGACTTGCCACATCTTGCAGGTTCTTGTGTGAACTAGGTATCCTAGTAGGTCCCTGGTGTTTGAAAGTTGTAGAATAGGCAAAGGACAGATGCCTGTTCCCTGCACATGTTTTCTTTTTAACCAGAGAGATTCTGCTTTTCTCTATTTTATTTCTGTCAGTTCCATAATAGCATTTTATTTGAGTACAAAATTCCATGGCAAAACCAACACCAAAATACGTGTATGTGTGTGAGTGATATATACACTGAGTGGCCAGATTATTATGATCTGTGAACATCTGAACGTATAATAATTTGGCCACGCAGTGTGTGTGTGTGTGTGTGTGTGTGTGTGTGTGTGTGTGTGTGTGTGTTAGAGGCCTGGTGCGTGAATTTGTGCATGGGTAGAGTCCGGCCAGCCTGGGTAGGGGGAGGGGACATGAACAGTTAGCCAGCCTGCCTGCTGGTGGAACTCCTGGTCGAGGTATATTAACCTTTTATTATATAGGACATATACTGAGTGGTCAGATTATTATGCATTCAGAGATTATAATAATCTGGCCACTCTGTGTGTGTGTGTGTGTGTGTGTGTGTGTGTATATCTTCTGATTGGTTAGATTTGAGGGGGGTGGGGAAACACTAAGGGTAAAACTTAGATCACTCAAATAGTTTTTTTGTTTGGAGGGAAGAACCATTTTTCTTCAACTAAAGAGAGCTAATTACTATGGGTAAGATGAACTAGTATTTAAAAGGAAGATGGATGGATAAGGCAATTCAGAATTTATTTTATTACTGGGAGTCCAGATGAGAATTTCAAGGAGTGCAGCATGTTTAGAGTAGCTGGTAGGACATGCTTACTTTATTTCTTGTGTTTTATTTACAAGGACCACATAAGGGTAACACCAAGTCTGGGCAATAGGGAATATTGCTCCCAGCCTCACCTGTGCACCTTTCCAGAGATACTCATTTGCTCTTTTTCTGATTTTTATTTGCCATTTAAACACAAAGTGTTTGGAGGAGCTTATATGCCATAATCCTCTTTACCTTTTTCTGTACTCCATTTCCCACCTACAGATTATGAGGGCCATTAATAGTGTTTCATTTGCTGTAAGGTACCTTAATAATTCCTTGGTCTTATTTGTTGATGACCAAAAATGGCATTGACTAGACTACACTCCAGCAGATATAGATAAGAACATATTAAGTATATGAACCTATTAAATAAACATTCTTAAATTTAGAAAGTTTTTAAAAATTTGATGGCCCCAAATGAAATTGTTGGAAGATATAATCTGTGCTTGGCAATTAAGTTTATAGAGGGAGTGTGGAGATAAGGGCGAGAGATCAACCAAAGGACTTGTTTGCATGCATATAAGTCTAACCAATGGACACAGACAACGGGAATGAGGGCATGAGTGGGAAGATCAGAGGATAACGAGGGGTTAAGGACACATATGCAATACCTTAATAAATAAACTTAAATAAATAAATAAATAAAATGGGGGAAAAAGTTTATTCTGTGGTTTGTATACCTCAAAGGAAAGAGGCCTATTTATTTTCATGTTTATCATATTGACTTTAACATAATTCTGATTACATATGAAATAGGAAAGTGGTTTTTGCCTTAGTTTTTTGTCAAGAGATATTAAACTAAGGCCCTAATTCAGTCACATTTGTCCAGATAATGCTCTTATAACTGAGGGAGCACAGGGAAAGTGCTCTTTGTGAGCTTCAATAGCAGTGACAAATACCATTTCTGGAATTTTATTTACAAAAATAGTTCTCTGAACAGTAAAATATGGTTTATTTTTTAGCATTGGAGTCTGTAATTTTGATTAGAAATGACTTTAAACAGCTAGAACTCTGGCCAGTATAGAATATAAGGTTCTAGACCTCTGTTACTGACACTGCAGGAGTCTCCTACCCTCCGTGCCTTCACTTTCCAAAAGAGGGAGACTGTCCTACATAAAAAATTCTGTGAAGATCCACTTTTTTGAAAGAGCCCTCATATGGATTGTGTTACAATTTTCTTATAAACTATTTTCTAAGAGTTTCTACAGTTTTTGTAATCACTTAAAAATATCCATTGTAGCCAAAACCGGTTTGGCTCAGTGGATAGAGCATCAGCCTACGGACTGAAGGGTCCCGGATTCTATTTTGGTCGACAGCACATACATTGGTTGCAGTCACATCTATAGTGGGGGGTGTGCAGGAGGCAGCTGATTGATGTTTCTCTCTCATTGATGTTTCTGGCTTTCTATCCCTCTCCCTTCCTCTCTATAAAATATCAATAAAATATTTTTTTTTTAATATTTATTTTATAGCTTTTTTGTGCATAAAGTATTAAGTAGAATAACTAATAACATGAATCCCTTTCATTTGAACTACAGCTAATTCTACTTTAGTTAACTGCTTTTCATCAGCCTATTAATCTCTACAGCTGTTAAATTTCAAAGGGAACATAATTGAAATTTGTATTATATAATAGCGAGCAATTAAAATTATAGAATTGTATTAATGTTTCTCTCTGTTAATATTGGGAAAGAAGGAGACAAAGAAACCGAAGTGTTGAATATTGATATTAAACACCAAGAGATAACAATTAAATTTAATAAGTGGTAAATGATAACTGTTAGGCTTTAAATTTGTTAATATAAATGTAATTTAAAAAAAAATTTGTTTTACTTTTAGGAACAGCAACTTTTGATAGTCCTAAGTAATTGCTGCTACCTACAGTGTCACACCTTCCTAAATATAGCAGAACATTTTGAAAAGTACAACTTTCAGGGAATAGAAAAAATAACACAGGTAAGTGAATTACATTAAATGGACAAGTTGGTTTGTTTTTTTTTTTAATCAATTTAGTTTCCAAACTACTTTCTCAGCACTCTCTTTCTTTTGCTTTTCTGTCCTTTTCCCTCTTTTTGCCCTTCCCTCCCATATTCCTTCCCCATTTTCATTCCACCCACCCTGTTTTTGAATGATTCTTCTCATAACTCACCTTGAATAATTAATTTAATACTCTCCTCTTTCCTTTAGAGCAAATTTTTCTCAAGGTTAGAGCTGATTTACTCTGCACCCAAGTTATTCAAAAGTAAGGGGAAAATATAGTGACACAAAGGCTTAGAACCCAAATCTTTTAGAATCATCTTAAATTTTGGCTCCTTTTAGATTAAAGCTTTTACTTATAGCCAACAGCTGGCTCCCTGAGCCTGCAGAAAAAAAAATCACTTCCTCCTTATTCACAATTTTTTCTCTCTCCTTCTCCATGTGTTTGAAATGATCCTTTTGCTTTACTACCTAAGCAGGCACACAGGTGATTGAGCATGGGCACAAATGCGGGCGCGCGCGCGCACACACACACACACACACACACACACACACACGAGACTGGCTTACAAGGGTGCTTAATATCTTGCTTAATATCTTAACTAAAAATATATATACTCTCCATTCTCTACTCCATGGATATAGCAAGGCTTCACAAAAATGAATCCTGTATCAATGGTGCAAGTTTTTTAAGTTATATTTTGTAATTTATATGTTTTCAAGTAAGCAAAAAAGGAAAAAAATGAAGTAACCTTGTTACTAAAGGTTAGTTGGTTCTTGGGCATAAGTTTATCAGATTTCTAAGTAAAACTAAGCTAGAATCACTTTTTAATGTCAGTACAGTTTTCTTGGTGCAAAGAATAAGAAAGATAATGATCTTGTTAATCTTACAATCAAAATGTACTCTTGATGGATCACATACTTTTTGCAAAATGATGGTTCCAGTTCATGAGCTCAATTGGGATTTTTTTTTTTTTTCAGAGAATGAGAATATCAAAGTGGGTGGCTCTGTCTTATTTTCCTGTCTTTTTGTAAAAATTAATCATTCTGATGAGAAATGTTGTGACTTAAGCTGTAAGGTCAAAAGTCGAGTTTATTTCCTTAAGTTTTTGTGCTGAGTACTATAAGGTGTTCTCTTACAGAGAACACTTTGTTTTTATGCAGTAACAATAATGACATCAGTATATTTATTGGATAACTTTTAATCATTTAAAAATACAATAAATGACTAGGAATTTCAGTAAGTTTGGTTTTCTTTAGTTTTTTAAAAAGTTATAAGTTAGAACTCTCTATTGTTTTAGTTTATACAATTAGGAAATAAAATGAAAGTGACATATAAATAGACTTATATATCCTCCCTGGTCTTTGTCCAGATCATTTTGAGACCAAGATAATATGAAGGGTTTGTGAGTGCAGCTTAGAATAAATGTAGGCTATTTTTCACATTCAGAATTTAAAAAATTTTAATTGACCAGTGATATTTTGAAATTATTCAGTTGTATAAATAGTAAACTAGATTTAGATGATAACATTTGTGTTGATTTTGTTTATTAATGAGTAAATTCATTAATTACATGATACCAACCAAGTAAAATACATGTTTGCATTAAAGGGAAAAAAGGTTGCCAACTGCTATTATTTTTCATAGTCTGTTTTCAAAAGAAAGCTAATCTAGGGGCACAATTCCTGAGAAATCAAGGGAGCACATAGGTTGCATGAATAACTTAGTGTCCATTCCTTCACCCCGTTTCTGCTCTTGGAGATAATGGTTCACTGAGGGCTTCTCACTTAGTGTCACCAGACACTAGACATTCTCTCAAATCTCCTTCCAGGTATTAACTGGTGGTTTTGCCAAATGTTTGTCTGGGCATATTTTCTCCTCTTCCCTATTGGTTCTTCTACCAATAGAATTATGAAAATAAATAGTTGTTAATTCCCTAAATCTTATTCCCCATCTTCAAAAGTAGAAAGAATTTTAATATTGAGATAGTTCAGAAATAACTGTGCTTTTTAGGAGTTTATTAAATTTAGTGACCAATGATCATTTAAAGCTGGAATGATTTCATATATACATTTTGCAAATAACCAAATGAAGTAATTAAGGTATTATTAACTCAGTTTTTTCCATACAGAAGATGCTCAGAAAAGATAATGATTTGACCTATTTAATAAGTAGCAGAGTAAAGCAGGACTTAACATTAAGTTTTCTCATTCTAAATCCAGAATGCTTTCTGGCCCAGAACCATATATCTTAAAGAACAAAATTGTTCCTTAGAAATACACCAAAGGAATAGGAAGATTGTGGTAACTGTAATTATATAATTCCAAGGAATTTTTTTTACATATATAAAATGCTATTTTAACCTGTCTTAGTCTTTAAAAAGCAAATGTCCAATTTAGAGTATGATAATTGCAGATTTTCAGTTTACTCAGAACTGTAGTCATTAAACAAGTCTGTCATTAAATTCTTGATTGAGGTTTTACTACAACATGGGGGTTGAGAGAGGGCAGTTTTTTGTTTTTTAAAAAATATATCCAGGGAAGATTCTATACCGACAGCAATAATTTTAAAGATTTTGTGTCACTTGAACCATATGTGCTATATATTATGTATTTGATTATGTTTAGCTTAATTGTATATAACCCTTGAATTTTACATCAAACTATTTGAATTCACAGAAGTAAGTGATTATGGCTTGGGATCTCAATTTATTTCCCCATCTTAATAATATAATTAGTTAAATTTTGTTTAGAAGCTATTTTTTTAAAATATATTTTATTGATTTTATACAGAGAGGAAGGGAGAGAAATAGAGAGCTAGAAACATCGATGAGAGAGAATCATCGATCAGCTGCCTCTTGCACACCCCCTACTGGGGATATGCCCGCAACCAAGGTACATGCCCCTGACCGGAATCACACCTGGGACCCTTCAGTCCCCAAGCCAACGCTCTATCCACTGAGCCAAATCGGTCTCGGCTGTTTAGAAGCTATTTTATTAAAATAAATTAGTTGTAAATTAATCCATTTGGGAGTTTAAGATCTTATTGACAGAAATTATAAATTATAAATTGACAGAATGCCATGAAGTACACTGAAATGTGGGAAGGAGAACAATGTAATCAGATCTGTATTTCTGAAAGCCCCATCCTGAAAACACCACAGACAGTGTGTTGGAGAAGTGAAAGAATTTAGAAATTAAGCTAGGCATTTGGGAGAGAGGCTCCTACAATAGCATAGTAGTGGAAAAGAACTGCGTTTCAACAGGAAGAGCAACATAGATAGCTTGATATTTGAACACTGTTTTAATCTTTCTCTCATGGCATTCATCTCCCCTACTCCAGTACCCTTTCATCTAGCCACTCATCTTTCCTTGAACATGTCATGCAATTTGTCTGCTCATTCATTTACTAAACATTAGCTTACCAGTCTCTATTTTAAGAATATTTGCATATAGGTGCTTTGTTTTGTTTTGTTTTACTATCTATCAAGAATGCTATTTCCACAGTCTGGACATGACAAAATCTTGATCATCCTTCAAAGCCCTACTCAAATACAAAGTCTCATCCTATAAAGAGTCTCTTATGGCCTCTTCTTATCTGTTTTTCCAAGGTACAAATGAATCAAATTGTCTTCTTCCAATGGTGTTTTATTCACATTCCTGGAATAGTGTTTTAACACATTACATTATGATTAGTTTAATATCAGTATACTTTCTATTAAATTTATCTGAATTGTTGAAAGTATTATAGATGCCCCCCTTTTTTACCCCATTAACCCCCTCCACCCCACATCCACCTCTCCCAGGTCTTTACCACACTATTGTCTCTGTCCATGGGCTGTGCACATCTATAATAATAAAAGGGTAATATGCTAAATTGACTGAACGTCCTTTTGGATGTCATTCCAGATGTCCTTCTAGACAAAGTTGGGGCTGGAGTGAAGCCCAGTTCCTGGGTGCCTGGCAGTGGCAGCCAGAGGGAAGCAGCCCAGTTCCAGGTGCAGGAGGGAAGCCAGTATAGGTGGAGGGGGGGTGAAGGGAGGAAGGCCTACTCTTGTACGAATTTTTCTGCATTGGGCCTGTAGTATGCATATGAGTTCCCTGTCTATACTGTTGCAAAGGGTAAGAGTCCTTTTTTACCTCCACTAGTATTCCATTGTGTACATTTATCCACTCATTTACTGCTGGGCACTTGGGCTGTTTCCAGATCTTAGCTATTGTAAATAAAATGATATTATAAACATAGGAGTGCATATATTCTTTCTGATTGCTGTCTTGGGTTTCTTAGGATATATTTCTTTTTTTAGATTATAAAATTTTAAGAATTTTTATTAAATATTTTATCTTTACCAAAAAATTTGGATCTTATGTAGATATCCTATGTAATAAAAGCCTAATATGCAAATCAACTGAACATCGGACAACCAGTCATTGGGGGCAGGGCCTTCAAGCGAGTTTTACGAGGCCAACCAAAGTGGGTGCCAGAGGGCAGAGGGAGGGGATAGTGATCGGAGCGCAGTGTGACTGGCAGTGGTTGAGGGGCGATTGGAGGCTGGGCCAACTACTAGCTGGCCTGTGCCATCTCCTGATCAGCCTGCTGGACACCTTGCCAGTTGCTTCCACAGAGGGAGGCTAGACTGTGGCTTAGGCCCCTCCTCCTCGGGGGATGTTCGAATGATGATGGCTTAGGCCTCCTCCCATTTGAACATCACCCAAGAACTCCTGGACAGAGAGAGGGGCAGGTCAGGCTGAGGGCCCCCCCCCCCCCCCCCCAGTGCACGAATTTTTGTGCACCGGCCTCTGGTAAGAATAATAAAAGGAATATGTGCACCTACCACCAAGCTGAAGAAATGGAGCATCATTCCAGATCCCTTAATGCCTTCTTATTTTTTTGCATCACTCTCCTTTCGCTATGGAATCTGTTGCACTTTGCAGTTTTTAAACTGTACTTTGTTCTATATTACCTGTTTTTTGGGGTG